GAACTTATTTACAGAACAGAAACAGACTCACAGACTTAGAGAACGGAATTTATGGTTACCGGGGGGAAGGGATAGTTAGGGAGTTTGGGATTGACATGTACACACTGCTATGCTTAAAATGGATAACCAACAAGGACCTACTGTATAGCACGGGGAACTCTGCTCAATATTATGTAACAACCTAAATGGGAAAAGAATTTGAAGAAGAATAGATACGTGTATATGTATACCTGAATCACTTTGCTGTACACCTGAAACTACCACAACATTGTTAATCAACTATACTCCAACATAAAATAAAAAATAAATTTTAAAAAAAAGAAGCACAACCCTCTTGCCTTCCATCTGATGACTGAGGCTCACCAGGGCCCCCCTGGGAGGAGGAAGCAGGCAGGAGAGGGACCCCTCACAGATCCAGAATCTTGGGGTGGCTGCTGATGTGCACAGATGAGGGAGGCCCTGGCTCAGTTTAGTTTGGCAACGGCCCTCGCTTGGCACACAGCACAGGTAACCCAGCAGGCCAGACTCCCTCGAGACCCAGCGCAGCCGAGGACAACTTTAAGAGGCAGTGCCGGGGAGAACGAGGTGGCCCTAATAGCTGATGTTAAAGGAAACCTTGATCAACTGACAGGTGGATACACAAAATGTGGTCTATCCATACAATGGAATAGTATCGAGACATAAAAAGGAACAAGGCACTGATGCATGCTACAACGTGGATGAACTTGAAACCGTGCTGCATGAAAGGGCCAGACACAAAAGGTCATACATCGGGCTTCCCTGGTGGCACAGTGGTTGAGAGTCCGCCTGCCGATGCAGGGGACGCGGGTTCGTGCCCCGGTCCGGGAGGATCCCACATGCCATGGAGCGGCTGGGCATGTGAGCCATGGCCGCTGAGCCTGCGCGTCCGGAGCCTGTGCTCCGCAACAGGAGAGGCCACAGCAGTGAGAGGCCCGCGTACCACAAAAAAAAAAAAAAAAAAGTCATACATCATACAATTCCGCTTATATGAAATATGCAGAAGAGTTAAGTTCATAGAAACAGATTAGTGGTCGGCGGTGGCTGGGGAAAAGGGGGGATGGGGGAGTGGCCACTTAATGGGGACAGGGTCTCCTTTGGGGGTGATGAAAATGCTTTGGAACTAGGAAGGGGTGATGGTCACACAACACTGTGTGTGTGCTAAATGCCACTGAACCTCTAAAATGTTTTGTTATGTAAATTTCACCTCACTTGAATCCTAATGATAATAAATAGGAGGAGGACGAGGAAGAGAACGCTGCAGCTGCAGCCACTGCCTTGAGGCTCCTGTCTAGAAGGCCAGCCGTGGGTTGGCTTTCTCCTCTCCCAGGAAGAGCAGGGCCTCTCTGCATCTCCACCCCAATTAGGGGATGGGGCCGACACCCCATGACCTGTACTAAGGCCCAGCCTGGCCGGGCCCCAAGGCCTCATGCGGTCTCAGGAAGAGAAGCTGCTGGCCTCCCTGGTGGCAAGTGGTTGCTGGGCCTGGTCTCAGCCAAGGGCAGGGGGGCACTTTGGAAACACCGTTAGCACAATTCTCCATCTGGATCCCGAAGGCTCTGCCCCATCTCGGTGCTGCAGGGCCCCATGGAAGTGGGATGACCCTGCCTGACCTAGCACGGCAGGACCCAGAAGCCTCCCAGGCACCCATTTTCACCTCGGGCCCCTGTAGGGCACCCAGACAGCCTGACTGGGTGCGGGGCGCCTGCTCTCACCACTTTGAAAAGCACCTGCCTCACTGGTGAATAGCTCGGCCTATTTGAATAGATGTCCTCAAACTGAGGCCAAACCAGCGCTGCACTTCTCTTCTGTGGGCCTAGCTCTGTCCTCCGGGGCATCTTCCCTGGAGCCGCCCTCAGAGCTCTGAGACGGGCAAGGATGGGCTGGCCCACTGCACACCCACCCCGAGGCCTGCATCTGTCCCACCTGCAGGCCTGGCAGGTTTCTGCTCCTCCTATAGGCCTCAGTTTCCTAACTCACAAAGTGTCCCGCCCAATTCAGGGGCTGTCCTGAAGCTCAGTTGAGACAAGGGGTGGAATATCGCTCAGCACAAGGTGAAAGGCTGCCTGGCATCAGGAGTCCTTTGGGTTGGACTTTCTTGGAATTTGCCTGTGACACCACACCCATGTTAAGTCATCTGGCTCGGACTGACTCCCACCCTTGGCCTGCAGCCATTTCCCAGAAGAAGAAAGGCCAGCCCCGAAGGGGTGGCATTCGCTTCTCCCTAGGTGAGGCGGCATGCCAGTTGTGCTGGGTTTGTAGTCAGAGGTATTCCAGGGCTGGGCTTTTTCTTTCTCAGTTGCTGGCCCAGGCCCTTCCCCCAGATACTTGGTCTGCTCCCCACCTGCCGGCACTAGGGCCATGGGGAGGATGCAGTGGTGACGGACCAGACGAAGAGTCCAGAGCCTTGGGCCGCTTTTGGTGGGAACTGGCTGTGTGACCCTGGGCTGCCGTCCTCGTCCATGTGGTTTTAAAGGGACATTGCTGGCATTTTCAGCAGGCAAATAACGCAGGGCCTGCTCTGTGGCTGAGGGATGTTTGGCTGCCCTGGCCCTTCCCACTAGAAAGGGGGAGTCATTGTGCCCCAGTCATTGTGCCCCAGTCATCGTGAGAAGCACAGACACCTTCGCACATTTCCAGCCCACCGGGGAGCAGGGGGAGGGGGCCTCTATGGGACTGTTCTAACCTCTTCGGATGCTAGGTTCTCCTGGGAGCTCCGTGGAAACCCCGGCTTGCTAGCTGGGCTGCCTCCTCACGAGATCACTGGGTACCAGCCCCTCTGCTCACGCTGGGCTGGGTGTACTGGGGGAGGCAGGTCTCCCTGGTTACTTTCCTGTTACGCCTCTGTTACCTCTCTGTTACTACTCTGTTACCCCTCTGTTACCCCTCTGTTACTCCTGTTACCCCGTTACTCCTCTGTTACTCCTCTGTTACTCTCACCTTACAGCTCCACCCCCACCCTCACCATCTCTAACCAGGTCCAAGGTCACAGTCATCCTCCGCCAGCCCCCAGCTCTCCCTGCTGAGCCTGTGGGAAGCCCAGCCTCTTCCTTGGCTTGGGGGTGGGGGCGGAGGGGGGATCTGAGGCCGCGATTCCTCTGCACTGGCGCTTGTCTGTTTCAGGTGGCTCGTCTTCGGCAGTGACAGGAAGGGAATGCCAAATTAACACTGGGTAATAAATTCTGCAAAGCCAATAAAACCAAAGCAGAGGGACGGACGGAAGAACCACAGCAACTGATGAAACATTTTTGTTGGCAGTCACAGACACATGGCACATTTTCCAAGGTCTGCATCAAGGAGACATCTGGCCACGGCCCATGTGTGCATGGGAGGGAATCCCAGTGAGCGGAGACAAAGGGGGCCAGGAGGGCAGGACCCTCCAAGGGGCAGCAGGCTGGGGAGCAGGCACTATTCGGGGGTCTGAGGCGCCTCCAGGGCAATGACCTCGGCGAGCTGTTAGGGACGCTTCCCAGGAAGGGCAGTGTTGGAGTCCTCGCCTGCCAACCCCGTGGGCTACGGGAGCCGAGGCCTGGGAAAGAATGTTCCATGCTTGGAATGCCTGCTGATCAGCCCCACCACACCCCACACCCCACACCCAGACTCAGGATTCTGGATTCAAGGCCTGAGGCCCAGGCCTCCCCTGAGTCTGAGAGAGAAAGTGCGTGCCATTAGATGGGGTCAGAGCCGGCCCAGGAGGACCCTGGGGTGCCTAACTCCTTGGGCTCCCTGATCACAGTACAAAAAACTTTTCCTCCGTACCTCCACCCACAGCATTGCTCTCCCGGAGCATCCTTCCTCCTTCAAGGCCCCGCTGGGCTCTGGGACTCAGAGCCCCCTCTGCCTCTGAGACCCTTCCTGGTGTAAGCTGTGTGTGTGTGTGCGTGTGCACGTGCACACGTGCAGGCATACATGCCACCCCAGCAGGCTCTGTACCGTATTCCTTTCTTTCCGCCCACGGTTGCTGACCATGCTGAAAGGCCCCACTGGGGCTCTGCATGGGCTAATTTGGACCTGTGGTCGTGGGGCTGAGGGCACACACAGGGAGTGGGCCAGTGGCCAGCTGACTTGGGCCTGTCTTCTGTTAGGAGGAACAGGATTTCCACACAAAACTCTCCAGTCCTTCAAAGACCCGCCACCGCACATAGGATGAAGCCCAGTCTTCTCGGCTTCCCCTGAAGAACCTGCCGGGAGCAGCCCCAAGTCAATGCCCCTGAAACACAGGCCAGGGGGTCACTGTGAGAGGCTGGGAGCTGCTCAGAGGATGCGTCATTCACCCCCATGTCAAGGTGGGGGAACTGTTCCCACACATTTCAGACCCACTCGGGGCTATCAGCTCCCACCAAAACCCAGGGTCCACGAGCTTCCAGGTGCTTTTTCCCTCTTACCTCACACATAGAGATACGGACTCGGGCTTCATCAGCTGGCTCTAGCAACGGCGCAGGGCACCCATGCTCCCTCATCCCAGACACGTGCCCCTTTGCTCCCACAGAGGGGGCACAGCTCAGTCTAGCCAGACCGTGTACCCACTGAAGCACTGGGTCCAGTCCACTGCCCAGCCCTGCGACTCCGCCCTCTCTGCCCCCTGGGCCTCGGCCCCGAGGGGCAAGTCACCTCTGTACCCAGGACCATGGCCACAGCGTCCTAATTAGTCTCCCTACCTCCAGCCCCCTGGGCTTCAGCCCGGCCTCCGCCTTCTCCTTACCAGTCACACGAACTATTTGCTCTCCTTCAACTATGTCTCACTCAGTCTCACCTTCACAGATGTCACCATCTACCCTCACCTGGACGACACCTGCTCACCGTCTGGGTCACCCGCTGAGGCCCAGCACAGAACTCAGCTCCCTGCATCGTGTCTCCCTCTTTGCAGCCTCAAGGTCTGGCAGAGGGTCTGTCACTAGAAAGTGTTTAGAGAATAAAGTTTGGTCTCCCCGGGCCAGGAGTTGCCCTAAAGAGACGGTCACAGGGCCCAAGTCTCGACCTACCTCTGAGAAGAACACTGAGAGAATGACCAGACTGATCCAGTGTATCACGCCAGCAAACTGGAATGCACTGGAAACTGCAAAAGCACAATAACAGGGGCCAATTTTAGGAGCAAGGAATTAGGTGCAACTGTAGAGGGGGCCTCACAGCGTGGAGGCAGGCCTCCAGGAGCCCGGAGCATGAGTATTTAGAACTGGATGCATTCGGGCCAGAGAACACCAGGCAGCTTTAAGGGGTGTCTGTGATGGAGGTGGTGGGAGGCTGGTGGGCCGGTGATGCTGTTCTTCCCTCCATCCAACGGGCTGCCTCTCAGAGCTCCAGCTCAGTCCCATCAGCCACCGTGGGCTTTGTGCCCAGAAAGAAGCCTTCCAGGGGAGCCTTCCAGAGGGAGCAGGAAGACATCTCAGACCTGGGTGGGCAGCTTCGGTCAGATCTAGGCGAGCTTCCAGAAATCCCCACAATTCACCCCCAAAGCACTGCGCACTGTGAGTGGGGCTTAAGGCAAGCTTACTCTTCTCATTCTGAAAATTCTGAGTGGCTGAGACGGCGGCGTCAGCCAGGGTCTTCTGGGGGAGAAGGCAGGAGCCGGGACTGGCGAGGACACCAGTGGTGGGGCAGGGTGTCAGCCTCCCGAAAGTGGCAGAGCGAGCAGCTGGGGGCTGCCACACCTCCGGACGCCAGAGTATGAGCGGGGAGAGCTATCGGCCACTGAAAGCTCCCACCCCACCTTCCACCAGGCAATTCTTGGCATTAAGGCAGCACCTCTGGCAGGCCCTTTCACAATACAGGGGCCGTGACCAGCCTCTGAGCTGTAGCGGAGCATTGTTTATCAGGGAGTAAGGCCAAAAGTAGGGTGCTGGGGCCCAGGACAAGGTCAGGTGGGCTCTGATGGAGAGCGGGTGGGAGGGGATGCCCCCTCAGAGGGCCAGCCTAAAAGAGATACTGGTAGAATGTCCCCAGACAGTGGGGCAGGAATGCAGCTGGGAGCACACTTCCCTCTGGTCAGCACGCAGCTCAGATCCCCTGGGGGACAAGGAAAGATGCCCAGAGCTATCAGTGGGGTGGGCTGGCCGAAAGAGAGGAACCCACAGCCTCCCCCAAAGCTCTGACATCGGCAAGTCCTGGGGGTGGGTGGAAACAAGGTCCTGGAGCATGTCCTGGGGGAAGGAGGCTTCAAAGACAGGTTCCAAGTGGGAGACTTTGGGGTTCCTGGCTTTGGACCAATACGAGCTTCAGAAGGCAAGTCCTGCCACACTGTGGATTCTTTCCGTCCTGGGTCACATGAATACGAGTGGGAACCGGGAGGCTGAGGCCTGTGTGACTCTGAAAAGACCTCCAGATGATTCTGGAAGCATAAAATCTCTCCCCATTATTTCTCAAATGAATTCCTGTGCCTTTTTTTATGGTTTGCTTTAGAAGAGCAATAAATCTCTGATTGTGCATTTTATGGAATTTAAGATGCCTTTTATGAGCTGCTAGTGGATCTCCCACCAAAATCAATCTCCTGGATGCTTAGTTTTAAGCAAAATTCCAGTGTCGGCCGTGTTCTCAGTTCTACTCAATGCCTGAGTGGCCAGGAGCCCCAAGTATAACCCAGGAAAGAATGACTCTGTTATGGTCAGACCTCATAAAAAGCAGACATACCAATGAGTAGGAGGGAAAGTATACAACATGGTTTAATTGAAGACAGGTTGACTGTAAAATCAGTGCTAGTCACTTTCTGCTGGAAGATACTTTGATTGGAACCAAGGGGCCACCAGCTGTACAAAAGCCAACGAGGCTTATCAGACAAAAGCAATTCTGCACTCCCCGCCATCCTCTCTCAGAGAGTAGGGAAGGCTAATAGGACTTGGAACCCTGAATAGGACGGACCCTGAATACAGAGACTCCAGTAAAGGGTCTGGGGGCATTTGAGAATAAGCCTAAGATGACTGAATGGGTCCGGGGGTGGCCAGATCTACAGTCCTGGAAGTTGGCCAATGGCAGGAAAGGAAATCTCTCGGGTGGGGGGCGGTCAACAATTTCATTTCTTCTTTTAATTTGCACTTGAATGAGCCGTCTTCTGACTGGGGGACCTCTGGGGAACCAGGAGCTCTACCAGAAACCACTCACTCAGCCAAAGCCAAGAGTCAAGACCCTTGGCCCCCTGCTGGTGCACCAAACAGGGGTCTACAGGGTGGGAGGCAGGAAGAGGGCCCTCCGCTCTGACAGACGTGCTGCCAAGGGACACCTGGAAGGACAGAAGAGGTGGCAGACAAGCTATCTGCTGCCATGTGCGTCAGGCTCCCGTGAACATGAAACTAGGACGAACACCAAGAGGACCAGGTTGGGAAAGAAAACTGGCCTGATGGCTTGAAGTCCCAGCTCTAATACCTCTCAACTAGGAAAAGTCTAACTTCTCCCAAGTTTAATTCCCAAATCCATAAAAAGGGAAAATACCAGTCTTGCTTGTCTCATAGGGTTGCTGCTAGGGTCAAATACATGGAGAAGTGCTTTCAAAATGATCACGTTATAGATAAATAACACTGCCAACTTACAGATGGATAAAAATACAAGGAATCATAGCGTCATTGTGGCTGCTGTCATTATTAGTTACTACAAGGTGAGACGCCTCCACACATGGGAACTCTCTTTAAGCTACAGCAAATTCCAACCTGGAAAATTTCAAATGGGAACAATAAAAAAAAAAGGTGCACACAGGGGTCCCCAACATTTTGGATCTCATCAGTTTCTGATCATGGAATGCTGGGGAAGGGGAGTGAAGAGGCCACATTGGGCGGAGCAGGGCAAAGCGATGCTGGGGGTGGCAGGGAGAGAAGCTGCCAGATGCTTTCCTCCCAGTGGTCATACCCATGAGCCATGGGGCCGGGGTGGGCAGTGCCGTCAGGCTGGGGGCAGATCACACTGCTAGTTGGGGACCCCTGATGGATGCACATGGAATATTGACATCATATGTATTTACATATGTATCTCTCTTGCTACTCACACTGGAGAAGCTTTATATCTATTAGAAGTTCCAGAGTCAGGAGAATCACCACCAATATTACACAGGCTACCAGGAAACTGTTGACACTTGCACTGAGCAAAAATACCTGCCACACGGCTGCTCTCTTCCCACAGCACGGCTTCAGCCAGGTAGACCTGCGGGGACAAAAGTGGGGGAGGAGGCACTGAGAGGGGGTGACGTCCCCACCACAGCCCTGCTCTCAACACCTCCCCGGCTCTGTGCTTCCTGATGAAACACAGCTTTCTTCAAGGGACCACTAGGTAGAATGATGAAGACCAGAAACATCTCATTAAGAGATGGAGCTCGGTATACAGGCTGACCCGGGCAGCTCACAGCATCTCCCTGTGCTTCAGTCTCCTCATCTTTAAAATGGGTACAAAACCACATCTCATAGGCTTCTTGTAAAGATGGAAGACCACAAAGGTTAGTGGAGAGCCTGGCTATGTGGTAAGTGCTGCATGAATTATTATTATTACACTTATTATATTATACTTCCGCATAGGTCTCAGAACCTAGCACAGGCTCTGCATTTAGGATACCCTCAGCCCACCTCTAATAAATGCTCAATGAATTCGTAAGTGAATTTTCTGTTTTTTCAGCTATACAAGGAAAGATTTGAACTGATCCCTGTTTCTCAAAGTAGATTGTAAGGAATGCTAGTTCCACAGAAAGTTAATGATTGTTACTCAATAAAAAGTTACTAGGGTTGGATAAGTTTTAGAAAATTTGGGTCAAATTTAAGTGGATAGGGCTTCCCTGGTGGCTCAGTGGTTAAGAATCTGCCTGCCAATGTAAGGCACACAGGTTCGAGTCCTGGGCCGGGAAGATCCCACATGCCACGGAGCAACTAAGCCCATGTGCCACAACTACTGAGCGTGCGCTCTAGAGCCCGTGAGCCACAACTACTGAGCCCGCGAGCCACAACTACTGAAGCCCATGCGCCTAGAGCCCATGCTCCACAACAAGAGAAGCCACCTCAATGAGAAACCCGTGCACCACAATGAATAGTAGCCCCCACTCGCCACAACTAGAGAAAGCCCGCGCACTGGAACGAAGACCCAGTGCAGGCAAAAATAAATAAAAATTTTAAAAAATTATAAAAAAAAGTTAAGTGGATATTTTTCTCTGCAGGACCTTTTAGTGCCATTAATATGCTATCATGCATCACTGTGCTCCAAAAGGGATTACAGTATCAGTTTTTCCCAAACTCACTGGCCCACGCACCCTTTTCTCATGTAGCACCTGGAGGGACTAGTGTTCTATGGACCGTCTTTTGGGAAACCTTTGACTAGATGATCGCGAACGTTCACACATAGACATGAGGCCACCAACAATGAAATCTTTCCTGAGTAGGTTTGGAAGTGGAGAGAAGGCACAGAATCTCAGAGCTGGTGGGCCCCTTAGGGCATTTGATCCACTCCCTTCAGGAACACAAGATCCTGGTGAAAAGGGGGTGCCTCTAAGGGGGCATGGGGATGGTGAAGTCAAACCTCACCGCCTTGGTGGGTTGTTTACAAGCTGGACCCGCCTGCCTGCCTTGATGAGGAAGAATTAGGTGCCCTAGAACACCAGAGACAGCACTGGCTGGGGAGTCCTCACTTCTGGCTTGGCCTTCAGCCTCCCGGGACCATGTCAAAGGCACTCCGGACGTCAGCCTCCCCATCTGTAAAACTCCTTAGCCTCCAGGGTTATTGACAGTTAAATGAGAAGATGCATCTGACCTGTAAAGCACCATGTAGTTGATGGTGATGGTGATAATGATGATAAATTATCTGATGGCCCAAAGATTCGGCCGTCACCCACTGTCCTTCCTGTCCAGAGGGAGCAATTGGCTGGAGCCTGCTGCAAAGCGGCCGGTACCCATCCCTGAAGATCCCGAGGGTGTCTCTGGAAAGGGGAGCTCTGCCTTGAGGTGCTCCCTTCTCCTCGAAGGAATAAGGTAGGTGCTTCAGGGAGATTTCTTCCCCACGGTCCATCAAGGGAAAGCTTGAAGGAGGCCCCAGCTGTTGGAAAGCGGGACAAAGCTCATGGCTCTTCAAGGAAATTTGGCTTTCAGGTGACGGGGGAAGAGGAGGGAGGCATTTTTGGACAAGCAGAGGATGGCTGAAGGGAGACACCCTCGCCCATGGCCAAGAGCATGGGGCAAGAAGCGAGGAGAGCTGCCAGGCAGAAGAGAGGGTTCTCACTGAGGACAAGCAGAAGACAGGGGGACAAAGGTGAGCGGAGGCCAGACAGAAGGCCATCGATGAAGGCCTGCAGATGGGTTTCAAAGTCCCCCATGGAACCACTTCTCTCCACCTTCCTGCGGGTTCACGAGGGCCACCCAAAAGCAACAGGCTACAGGGTAAACCCCAAACTGATACCATGTGGAGCTCAGTAGGGTTGCCAGAGAAAATACGGGACAAGCAGTTATATCTCAGGTAAACAATCTATCAACGATTTTCTAGTATAAGTATGTCCCAAATGTTGTATAGGATATACTTACACTAAAAAAATTGATTCATTGTTTATCTGAAACTCAAATTTAAATGGGTGTCCTCTATTCTTATTTGCTAAACTGACAGCCCTAAATTCAGAGCAGAGGGGTCTTGAGGGGGCCTGGTGAGGGTGGCTGGGATTTGGTCAGAGGAATGCATGGGATCCCTGGGATACAGATTAGAAGACAGTGTCAGGAAAGGAAAGACCACGCGAAGGACACCTGTGGGAGGGCTGAGCGTGTCTGTCCAGGAGGCCAGGAAAGAAGGACCAGAGTGGTCAGGGACAGCCGCGCCCTACCTGGCACAGAGAATCCTGGAGGCTCCACCCACAGGTGCTATCAGCTGTGTATGCTTTTGCCTATGAAAGACCCTTTGAATTGTAAGGTACCTTTGGCCATCATTACTTGGCTGACCTCCTCTCCTCCTGATACATCCCGAGAGTGTCACCCCTCCTTTTCCCATAGTGTGACATCCCCGCCCCCTTCCGCTGGCCCTATTTTAATCTTTCGCACCTCTCACCCCAGTTCTCGCCCAGCCTCCAGCTGCCTCGGCACTCCCTCTGGAAGTTTCCTGCAGCCTCCTACCCTCCTGCCCTCCTCCCCGGTTCCCAAAGGAGACCCAGCTCCAATTCCACATCCTCTCTAAAACCCAGTCCAATCGTCTGTAGCCCCTACACTGATGCCATTTCACTGTCACCTGAAATCTGAGGCAAGCACCCTCCGCAGTGATAAATGAAAAGGGCAGCTGCCAAAGCCGTCTGCCTGGGCTGGGCTGCCATGCTGAGCAACCAGAGGAAGACTCGCCTGCACGTCCAGTGTGAGAAGCGGGGCACCTGATCTCATCTGTGTCTTGTGCACCCCAGAAGCGTGGGGTGCATCCCTCAGAGACCGGGCCTTCTACCCTGAGAGGAAGGTCCCAAGGGGAGAAAGGCAGAGAAAGGGATGAAACAAACCATTTGTTTCTTCAAGTGGCAGGCTTTGCCTCTAAAAAGGAGACTCCACACTTGACCTGCCTCTCCATGGGAACGAAAAGTCATTTTATGTTGCGGCTTCAAATGTTAAGATGTTGCTTTTGGGACTTCCCTGGCGGTCCAGTGGCTAAGACTTCACGCTCCCAATATAGGGGGCACGGGTTCTATCCCTGGTTGGGGAACTAAGATCCCGCGTGCTGCAAGGCGCAGCCAGAAAAAAGAAGAAAAGATGTTGCTTTTCATTTTCTTGTTTGATCAGAAAAACTTCCTAAGCAGACCCAGGTTTGGTTATTGGGAAGCAGTCGGTGCAAAGTGGGGACCTGTAGTCCAAAGCTGGCAATGCGAGCCTTGCCCTGGCACCACGGCACTCCTCGGCCTCAGGAAGCAGCCAGGGAGGGGCCAGGAAGGTGGCAGGACTCAGAAACCAGGCAGGGAGGGGAAGGTCTGGAAGTCAAGTGAACGCCAGACACCCCATGTGCTAGTCAGGCACTGTGCTCAACACAGGCCACGGCTCTAGGGCAGCTGACATTCCAGTGGGTGAGGGTCAAACAATAAACATAACGAATTAGGAAACGAGATGGTGTCCTACAAGGTGGTAGGTACTGTGGGAGAAAAGGGGGGCATGAAGGGTGACATTTTAAACTAGGTGATCAGGGTAGGCCTCACCCGGAAGGGCTTCCCCTTCAGGGCTGGGGGCAGCTGACCTAACCCCACCCCGAGCAGGTGTTGCAGGTGTTCCCACAGCCCACGGGGCAACCAACGCAGTTCCCAAAAAAGCCCAAGGCAGCTGCAAAGTGGAGCCCATACTCACTGCCCTGGTCCTGTGCTTCCACTCCCGCACCAGCCCAGTGGTTCCCCCCACCTCTGCTCTGCCTTCCACTACAAACCCCTCAACCATGCCCGTCTGGGGGTGACTTCCTGAAACCCCCTTTGTGCACAAGTTCAAGGGGTGCTATTTGCACACACTCTATGTGAACCCCAGGACAATACACACAGGGGAGGACTCAACTGAAGCAGAAGGAGGGAGACCACCCATCCAAGAAAGGATGGTGTCCAGGGATACAGTAGCGGCTGAGGAGTGGTGGCAGGGGGGCTGCAATCTGTTTCCAGGTCAGTGGTTCTCAACCCTGGCTGATCCGAGGACCACTAACAGAGCTTTTAAAAATCCCAGTGCCTGGGCCACACACCAGACCATGCAAACCACACGCTATGGGGTGGGACCCAGGCCTTAGCATGTTTTGATCTCCTTAGGTGATTCCAATGTGCAGCTGAGATTGAGAACCACTGTCCTTGGTCCTTGATGCTCAGTGGGCTCCGTAGACCAGCAGCATCAGCATCACGTGGGACCTTGTCAGAAATGCGGACTCTTGGGCCTTCCCATACCCACTGAAAAGTGTCTGCATCTCAGTGAGATCCTGGGTGATTCAGGTGACAACCACTGCTTTGGATTTAACAAGAGGTAACGGGTAGCTCAGGAGGTGGGCAGGGCATGGCAAAGGGAGTCTGGGTGCAGGAGAGATGAAGCAGTGAAGGCAAGCAGGTCCCCAGCCAGCCCTTGGGGCCGAGGTGCAGGACCCAACACTGAGGGAATGGGGAAGCAGGTAGGCTCCCTGGGGAGCAGAAAGTAGCACTGAAACTGAGCATATGTGTTTGGGGGCATCGAGGGCTTCTTAGCCTAGACCTGAGG